AGTGAATTATTAACCCTGTAAAGCCTGAAGCATGGATTAATGCCAGACATTTGATTTTCTTTTAATTGGACAAATGCTAACAATTAAAAAAAACAATAAATAAGTTTCCATGTATGAGGTTTCTTTTTTTTTTTTCATTTTTTGTGTGTGTTAAAAACACACTGATGATATAGAGGTCTCAAAATCTCATGTATCAAATATTATACAGGGTTAAAAGAGATTACAGGTTACAACTCCAAAGCTCCTATAAACCTTACTTTGGCTTTCACTTTGTAGTCTGTGAATCTAGTTTGATTCCCTGCGTCACAGAAATCTGTCTCTGTCACCACCTCTTTAAGAAAGAGTTACTATTTTTTATATATTTGAATGCCTCCTAATTTTATTGTTATGTTCAGACATTCACACTGACATTTAAACAAATAGATCTCATCTCATATTATAATTCTGGGGATCCGAGTCTGTTTTATCCTCTTTAATTAAAATACTACATTCAAGAAAAGATTAAGCATAGGAATTTCCCACCTGGTGGCTTAGATAAAAGTTAATTTGTAGATAAAAACATAGCAGCATCAAGAAATATTCTATCAACTATAGAGATGCTGGTAAAAAGCAGTTTGTTTGTTTTAAATTGATGCTTTGAACTGATGTTTTTCTTTTTGCAGTTTCTAATCTGATGCTTCCTTATGAATAAAAATTACTTTATTGTTATTCACTATGTGTCCTTACAGTTTTCACAGCCGCAAGTATGGGGACAAGTTTGCTGAGAAGTTGTCGTCTGTTTTGCCTAAATTCACATCCCTGCGAAAACTAGAGTATGTTTTATATCGTTGCTTTATTCCTGCGAAAAATATATTAAAGGTAATTGTCCCTTAACTACAATAATTACCTGTTTGTGTTCACAAGGTTTTCTGGTGCCAGTCTGACTGCTACTGGAGCAGCTAGTTTGGCCTCTGGTCTTCAGGAGTGTCCACACATCACTGATATCAAGTATATCTTCTGTTGTTCAATATAGTACACGATTAGCTTACTGCTCGATTATCCAGATGCTTTTAATAATGCTGAGCTTAAAGTTTCTGATAATTTTTCTTCTGGGTTTTTTTTTTCAGCCTAAGTGACAACAATTTGAGGGATGAAGGAATCAGCCGCATTGCTGAGATTTTTACCAAACTACAAAACCTTTCGAATGTAGCGTAAGTTCTCACATTTCTAATGCAAAGACTCGTCTGTACTTAACAATGCAGAAGACTTTGTGTGGTGATCATATGTGTGTGTGTGCTTCTTTGTAGGCTGGGACGAAACAGCACAACCCTGAATGCAGTCGACTGTCTTATTAAAACGATGTCTTCATGTTTGAACATCCAACATGTTCATGCAGAGTAAGACCACACACACATGCACACAACGTGGCGGTTAAGGCACAGTTAAGGCACAGGGATTGTTGTTTAAATTAAATAAAAATTACACACATTTTAACTCAGTAATGCTCACTGCACTATTAATATTTTCTCAGTCATAGATTTGAGATTCCTGAAATTCAAAGTAGCTGATTGATATTGATAAAGTTATAATGACAAGACCAGATAAACATAAGTGTGTCATAAATGTGTACTGCAGTCCAGGTTATTTTTCTTTGCAGGGGGATCAAAGACTTGACAGTAACTTTCTTCCAAAAGTCAGATATGAACAGGTGACTTTTATGCTTATAAACTAAATAAAGCAATAAAATGAACATAGTAAAATTCTGATATATTTATATTTTTTGCTCTACAGCCATACATCTATACTTGAATCAACAATCAGGTAAGATATGAAACAAATAAGTCAGTTTACCGTAACTGCCTTACCAAAGAGCTTTGCCAGTTTCCTTGATGAACTTTACACCTTCGTTGATCTTAAATGGGTGTCAGCAAAATGTGCATTCACCTTTACT